TAATACATTTGATACCATTGCCCCTCTGAAAAAGAAGGCAGTGAAACAGAGGAGGCTAGCCCCATGGTACAGCTTGCAGCTCCGCTCCCTAAAGCAGGCATCACGAAAAATGGAAAGGAGGTGGCGCTCCACTAAGTCAGAAGAGTTTTTCATAGCCTGGAAAGATAGTTTAATAACATATAAGAAAGCCCTTCATAGTGCCAGAACCGCATTTTATTCATCACTGATTGAGGAAAATAAGAACAACCCCAGGTTTCTTTTCAGCACTGTAGCCAGGCTGACAAAGAGCCACAGTGCTGTTGAGCTTAACATTCCCTTAGATCTCAGCAGCAATGACTTCATGAGCTTCTTTACAAATAAAATCACAACTATTAGAGAAAAAATTGGTCGGACCACTCCCACAGCTCTCGCAGATGTGCCATCTACTACAATGGCTTTAGAAACATCTGTAAGACCTCATTTATACTTGGACTACTTCTCCCCTATAGATCTCTCTGAGTTGACCTCAACAATTGCTTCATCTAAATCATCAACATGTCTCCTGGACCCCATCCCGACCAGGCTGCTCAAAGACGTCTTTCCCCTAATCAACACATCCATACTAGATCTGATTAACCTCTCTCTATTAACAGGTTATGTTCCACAGGCTTTTAAACTTGCAGTAATTAAACCTCTACTCAAAAAGCCTACTCTTGACCCAGGTGTCCTAGCTAATTATAGACCAATATCCAATCTCCCATTTATTTCCAAAATCCTTGAAAAAGCTGTTGCAAAGCAGTTATGTGACCACTTGCACAAGAATGATTTGTTTGAGGATTTTCAGTCAGGATTTAGAGTCCATCATAGTACAGAAACCGCATTGGTGAAAGTCACCAATGATCTTCTCCTAGCCTCGGACAAAGGACTTGTCTCCATACTTGTCCTCTTAGATCTCAGTGCTGCTTTTGACACCATTGATCACAGCATCTTACTGCAGAGACTTGAACATGTTATTGGGATTAAAGGAACTGCGCTAAGTTGGTTCAAATCTTATTTATCAGAAAGATTTCAATTTGTTCATGTTAATGACGAATGTTCCACACAAACTGAAGTTAGTCACGGCGTTCCACAGGGCTCTGTGTTAGGTCCAATTCTCTTCACTTTATACATGCTCCCTTTAGGTAATATTATCAGGAAGCACAACATAAATTTCCATTGCTATGCAGATGATACTCAGTTATATTTATCTATGAAGCCAAATGAATCAGGTCAGTTGGTCAAACTTCAAGCATGTCTTAAAGACATAAAGGCCTGGATGACCTGCAAGTTCTTACTTCTAAACTCTGACAAAACTGAAGTTATTGTGCTTGGGCCTGAAAACCTTAGAAATCTGCTGTCTAATTATATAGTTACTTTAGATGACATAGCTCTTGCCTCCAGTACTACTGTGAGGAACCTTGGAGTCATCTTTCATCAGAATATGTCCTTTCAATCACACATAAACCAAGTCTCTAGATCTGCCTTCTTTCACCTGCGCAATATTGCAAAAATTAGGAGCATCCTGTCTCAAAGTGATGCTGAAAAACTGGTCCATGCATTTGTTACTTCCAGGCTGGACTATTGTAACTCTTTACTATCAGGATGTCCCAATAATTCCCTAAAAAGCCTCCCGTTAATCCAAAATGCTGCAGCCAGAGTACTGACAGGAACTAGCAAGAGATATCATATCTCTCCCATATTAGCTTCTCTCCACTGGCTCCCTGTAAAATTCCGAATAGAATTTAAAATCCTTCTCCTAACATACAAAGCCCTTAATGACAAGGCTCCATCGTATCTTAAAGACCTCGTAGAGCCTTATCATCCTAACAGAGCACTTCGCTCTCAGAGTGCAGGTTTACTTGTGGTTCTTAGAGTCCACAGAAGCAGAATGGGAGGCAGAGACTTTAGCTACCAAGCTCCTCTCCTATGGAACCAACTCCCAGTCTCAGTTCAGGAGGCGGACACCCTCTCTACCTTTAAGATTAGACTTAAGATGTTCCTTTTTGATAGAGCTTATAGTTAGGGCTGGATCAGGTGACCCTGAGCCCTCCCTTAGTTATGCTGCTATAGGCCAAGCCTGCTGGGGGGGCCCCATGATGCTCTGAGTTTCTTTCCCCTCCCCTCTCCTCTCCTCTCCTCTCCTCTCTCTCCCTATGCTTCTATATGCCACCATTACACATCACTAACTGTGTGTCTCCTCTCTCCCGTAGTGTGTCCTCTCTCTCTCCCTGTACCTTTCTGCAGGTTGCCCTGGCCCTGGAGCTCTATGTCTCTGACGAGCAGTCACCAGCCACATCGACCTGATCAGTGTTTGATTGTTGTGTCTTGTTGCTTTTCTTCTTTTGTCTCTCCTCTATCCACTCACCCCAACCGGTCGAGGCAGAAGGCCGCCCACCAAGAGCCGGGGTCTGTCGGAGGTTTCTTCCGTTAAAGGGAGTTTTTCCTCCCCACTGTCACCAAGTGCTTGCTCAAGGGGGATTTGTTGGGTTTTCCCTATGTAATAATAGTGATAACAGTAAGGTCTAGACCTTACTTTGTAAAGTGTCCTGAGATGACTTTTGTTGTGATTTGGTGCTACTGTATACAAATAAAATTTGATTTGATTTAATTTACTGATGAAGAAGTAGCAGTGGGTCTCATATTTGAATTTTGAGTCTGCTTTTTTTTTTACACCAGAAAACTTCCAACTTACTGAGAAGGCAGTCTTAAAACATGTTTTTAACCTAAATTTTGGTATGTACGCCATGAAATACCTCTTCTGTGCTTAAAAGCACTGGGCATTCAAAGTTTTCATCTCAGTGAGGTTTTCCTGCTAAAATAAAGGTTAAATAAAACATGTGGTGTTTTGCAACAATACATCATCCCTACTAAGACGCCTCCGGTGTCAGCATCCTGAAGATTTAAATAAAGGGTATAGGCTACAGGGCAACCAAAATGCAATAAAAACTAAAATCTGTTATTTGTTAATTTGCTTGAACCTTTGTTTAACTAACAAGTACAAAGAAAAGGTTTCCAGTGTTTTCACTAACCAACTTAATTGCATTTTGAAAAATATAAACAAATTTGACATGTGCAACACACTCAAAAAATAGGTTGGGATAATTTGATAAATCACCCAATTGTTAAGTGCTCATGGTCTACCAAGGATAATACCCACTGGGTTGTAAATGCCATGACTGTAATGGATGATTTGGAGGACAAAAAACAAAAAAAATAAAAAATAAACACCCAATACAATGGTCTCCATGTTTTCCTACCACAATCATGAACCTTACACCTCAGAGGGTATTATATCTTACTTAATACATTTATATATAATATTAAAAATATTCCAGTTATTTGAAAGTTTTATTCAGCATATTTTAAAACATTGAAAATGAACGCCTACGGTCACAGATACTAGAAAGAAAAAAATAACACAGTAAAAGCAGAAATAAAATTGGCATACTAATGTTTCCATTTTAAAAACAACCTCAAATTAAAACTCTCCTGTACAAACATCGTGTCACCCTTCTGTCACCAAACAGTTTTAGGGTTTGCTTTGTAAAGGTCATAGTCTTCTTTCCGGAAGAAGGCCACTTCTGTTTCATTTGCTAAAACATGAAACACAACAATGTTAGAGTCAACACTGTGATAAAATGATGCCCCCTGCAGCAGTTCATCAATATTAAGCTCTTATGGAGATATTTACTAAACCTGTCGCAAATTAGTCAGGTGTGGAAAATATCGTGGCACCATAGTTTTTTTCTTATTTAGTGGTGTATTTACATACACTGATGATGTAAATGAGCACAGCTCAACTCTTACCAACACCAGAAGCTCTGAGAGTTTGGCCACATTGCAGAATGAGCAGTTTGTCATCATCTAAACTCATCACCAACTCATTAGTCTGCAAAAGAAAAAATATGTTGTCAAAAATTGATTTCTCAGGACGTATCTATCTGAAGTTTCATCATAAATTCTTCATAGCAAAATTCTCACTCTCTTCAAGTTTATTATTTTACAGTTACTGTACATTTACAGTGTAATGTAATGTGTTTTTCATTTACATTTTGTCTTTGGCCATTTGCAGTGCAGTGTTTTTAACAATTGCTGAATTTAATCATTCAATACTGTACTGCTGTGATACTTACAGTATGCAATACCTAAACTGTTGTTTTGTTGAGTTGTGAATTAGATGCACTGCATTTACTTAACTAGACAGAAGTCAGAGAGCACAAACCTGCCAAGGCCAACCCAGTTTCCCCATACTTCCATAAAATATATACAATATAATCCCATGATTATTTGATCCTCATTCTATCATAT